CGACGGCGTCGCCCTGGTCAAAAATAGCCAGGAGCGCGCTTACCCGTCTTCTCTGCCAGAAGGTGATTTGAATGCGCTGACGTCAAATGAAGTCGACAAATGTCTTCAAGAAGCTACTACGAAGTTGATGCAGTCACATCGAGTGATTATATCTCCTGCAAGTATTGGTGATGATATAGGAAGATCATTAAGTCAAGCTAGAGGGAAACTGAAGAAGATGATAGGACCTATATTAGCTGGTGTTGCTATCAAAGGTGGCTTCTTAGTCATGGCTTTTAAAGCGATCGCTTTGATAGCAGGGAAAGCTTTGCTTATAGGTAAAATTGCTCTGTTACTGTCAGCGATAATTGGTTTGAAGAAATTGGTTTCTGGTGGCGATAACCATGAGAAGACTACGTATGAGATCGTGAAACATCCTCAGGTGTCACAGAGTCATACGTATTCCTCGTCACATTATGGAAGTGATTTCGACACGACCGGTCCTGGAGGTCATTATAGAAGAAGCGTAGAAGATGAGGCTGCTGCACAGGACAGAGCTTATAGAGCTTACGCTAAGACACAATAAGCTTTTAAATTACGACTCTTTACAAAAACAACTGCGCATCGGTATGCATTGACAGGTTTTGATTAGCACAAGACAAGGAATATTATTAATTTTATACCGTTTTTAATAATTTATTGTTGTAGACTTACTAGGTTGAGATTATTTATTCATTATTTAATAGTGTTATACGCACATTATCGCACTGAATATTTTAGTATGTAAATAATTTTAAGTTTGTTGTTATAAGACATTTTTATACGATGATGTTTATGTTTATTTTTGTGGTGTATATTATGTTAGTGAATATTATAATTTTAACAATTAGGCTAGTCGACGGGTACTGTGCATTTCTGTGTTCTTAATTATTCATTTGTCCAATTTTGTATAGAAATAGATTAATGTTATTTTTAAGTTGGTGCTGTTAAGTTTATTGTTAAGTGATTTTATTTATTTTTTGTAGTAGGCTTGTTATGTTTTTTACGCGTATACCTTTTAAGTGGTACGTGTTTTAATTTATTTATCCAAAGATTCATAGTTATATTGATGAGAAATATCCTAAAAACAACCAATGACTAAATGCCTTATAAATTATTCCACTCTCGTTATTGTTTTATTTGAGTTTAATTAGAGGTCAGTAAAATTAAATTTATTTTAAGTCGACTTTAAAAATGGAATTTTCTTTCCCCTTCCGTTAATTTTTTTACTGTGACCGAAATGGTTACCTTCATAATTAAAACAAGTTCAGTTGTAACATTATGCACAAAAGACATTTAAGAATTCTCATGGTAGAAATTTTTAAGCTATTCCAGTTTTAATTAACCCTTAATATGATAGTGTCCAGTGTGATAAACAACTAATAAAAAAAAAATCTAATGAACTAAGAGAAATACGTGATATTTTTATTTTTGTGTGTTGGTAACATGTAATATTTTTTGCTATAAGAACTTCGTCAAATTAAAGGTTAAGTAACCACAAGCTCTGAAACAAGATGGAAATCGATAAGAACCAATACCGCGTTTCTATATTCTAGATTTTCGTTAAAAATCCAATACTGGTAATTTTACGATTGTGTTTTATTTTCAGACAAGAACAGGAACATCTTTGACTAAACTATCACACAACCGTTGTGCGATTGTCGATTGTTTTGCATCCAATTCAACTGTTTAGTTACATAACTTAAAATCGTGTAGTGTAATCTTCATTTAAGCTTATAGGAATCAAAGCGACTAAACAGTTGTTCGATAGTTAAGTCAAAGATGTTAAATCGCTCTAAATGATTAAAGATTTTGTTTTAAAGATTTACATCTTACCATAAGTGGTATTTTAAAAATGTTCTTTCGTGATAATTGCTTATTGTAACGATCCATTGTCGCGTGTCTATCAGATTCTCGAGTACACGAATAGGGAAGACGATCGATGGATTTTAAAGATAATTTACTTTTAATTATCGCCACGCTAAATACGAGTGAGCTATTTAGCGAAAACTAGTGGTCGCTCATTGGTCGAAATTTCAATATAATTAAATCTTCCTATTTTTTAAATTGCCTATTCACTTGAGTCCATGGCGGTTGTATCACCTCGGTGTTGCCGCCGCCTGTTTGGTCCCTTTTATAATAAAAAAAATATCCGTTTCACTTACCCCCATGTTGTATTTTGCAGGTATTGCGCGAACTTGTTTCCCCATCTCCTTTTTACCATCGGACGTCTAGACGTACTGCTGGTCTTCATCCTTAATAGTTGAAGTGCCGCGGATTCAAACAAAGCGATGTTAGTCATCGTTTCTCGTGCCCACAGCAAAGGAATGGAATAAGTTGCCGGCGTGTGTTCCCGTCCAGTTATAACATGGGTCTTCAAGAGCAGTGTCAATCTGTACTTACTGAACTAGCGCGTACCATCCTTCGACCACATCTTCACTTTGGTCTCGGTGGGAACGTGATCAAGCGCTGGTTTATACATGATAAAAACCACCCATTAATTATTAACAGCAATAGAATGCAGCAGTGATTTTCAAAACTTCTACACAAATATTTGATACTTTTTTTTTATTAAAAAAATGAGTTAGTAATATATTTTGTAGTGGTTCGTCAATGGAAACTCACTGTATATGAATGAATATAAATGATGCCGTGAGACATTGTAATTATTCTTTAACAATGAAATGTAATAATTAATCAAGACTGACTATTAGTCATATATAAACTAACTACCTTTTCTCCTGTGGCTTCATCCGCCTGGAATTATAAAAACATTATTTTATGGTTTACATTTGTCAAATTCACAATTCCAAATGTCAAAATTACCGTTACCATAATAACCTTGCTTCCGTCCGGCAGCTTCTAGTTTATGGTCCTTTTCCAGATGAAGGTTTTTTCCAATTTATTTACCCCCTAAGTTTAATAGCGTAATAACATATAGCCTAAAGCCTGTCGTAAATGTAAGGCTTTTTATTAAAGAAAGACTTATTCAAAAATGTGCTGTGATTGCTGACATCTTACGCCACAAAGTAGTGTGTGTTTACGCTTTATTACATTAGTATAGATGTTTGAATTCCTTGATTTTCAGGCTTAAATTTAAATGTTTATTAACTATTTTTTCTTTCAATTAATGAGACGTGTATATTTAATTGTATTAACGATACTTTCTTGAAAAAAGATCTTTAAAAAATGATGTATGCAACAAATTGAAGTTCAATATGATTATCGACTAACACTAATAAAATTGGAGTAACTATAACGTTTTTATCAGTGAAATAACTATACGAATTAGTAGACCGATATCTCGCCTTGCGATAATTATAAGATGCCAGTTGGAGCGTCTCTAGCCAGTTACTCATCCTATTTCTATTTCCCCAGATAAATGCAAGTAAATGCGCTTAACGAACGAGAACGGAGATATCAAGGTAACTGGGTTAATATCGGATATGCATCGAACTGTTAAATATATATAAAAAAATATGTTCTTATTTGATTACCATTACTAACTTTCGCCCGCGACTCCGTCCGCGTGGAAATAAATAAAACAAAAGTAAGTAGCCTATATGTTCTTCCAGACTACCGTCTACATCTATACCAAATTTCATCGAAATCCGTTCAACCGTTTAGGATACAAAGTCTAACAAACCATATATCCATCTAAACTTTCTCTTTTTTTATATTAGTATGATTATTAGGTAAATGGTATTATATAAAAAACGAACCCTTTAACATATTGTATGTTTAGATTGTTATAGTAAATCCTAAATCGATTGATTCCGTTTTATGCAATGTCGCACGCGATTCCGTCCGCGTGAATAAAAACAAATGCAGCCTATGTGTTCTTCCAGACTTCTATAGCTATGTCAAATTTCATCGAGACGCTCGTTCACTCGTTCTTTACTTCTTCACTCGTTTAGGCGGTAACTTTAACAAACATTAATCTATTTGTATAACATTAGTAAGAAGTTAATAAGAACTGAGAAGATTGCTTCATTCATAGGATGCCTGATTAAACTAAATCGGTGATAATTGAAATATTAGTAAAGAGAAGTATCTTTTATTAGACGAGCGTGACGTGGACACGAAGAATTATCACGCGAAGCTGAACAACTAGCGTACGGCATTCGTTGAAAAAACGATGAAAGTCAAGAAAACTGTGCTACGGACGCAGTAGAATTATACTAATATTATTAATGCGAAATTTAGATGGATGTTTGTTAGATTTTGTAGGTTAAACGGTTAAACGGATTTCGATGAAATTTGGCACAGATGTAGAGGATAATCTGGAAGAACGCATAGGCTACTCAGTTTTTTTCTTAATCTCAGTCGCTGGCGAAATCTAGTTTGAATATATGTAAATTTAATCATTGTCATGTGGCAGTTGAACAAAGCAACTATAATAAAGAAAATTTCTTAAAAACGATATTTATGAAGTCCTGATATTCAATTTTTTAACAATTATACAAAAAACAAAGACTTTATTTTAATTAAAATACGAAATTATCCTTTAATTTTGTACAATCAGCTGCAAAAGTATGTATACATTTACAAAATCTTGGAAACTCAGAACCTTCGGATTAAAAAAATATTTATGCATGTAACAATGCCATGAATTCGTCGGAAAGAGAGTGTGTATATACGGATAAGCATTCATGTAAAAAAAATGAGTATATTTTTTGAAGGTTTGTGAATCTATACAAATTTATGCAGGTGACTGTACTTTTGAAAATTTAATAAAGCGAAAAGACTACACGCAAAAATCTATTGTTCGATTTAATTTCCTTCCTAATAATAAAGCTAAGCCAAACATAGTAACTTATCATAAATACGGATTAGTAAAAAAAAAAACAAAAACTCTTCCGGTGTAGTATTTGGATGAGTGAATTCAGTGCGTCAATATTCCGGAGTCAATAAAAAAAACATCGTAAAGAAATAAATAATACGTGCGTACACTATTCGCTTTCCCTCGTTATTTCTTTCATCGGAAACATATCCTACTGTACTTTGTTAACTTTGACTAAAGAAAAATGGACTAGGCAATCGATGTTGTAATAAAATTCGTTAATTTTGCTAGGGGGATGGGATATGATTACACACATGTACGTCTCATGCTGACACGCAAATTTTATGAAAGCATATGACTCCATTTACATACTTAAAAGCACACACAAAGCTTTAAAGCTTATTTCCTTTTTCATTTTACACTAGCTGTTTCTCACGATATCGTTTGCGTGTAATACGAAATATAGTCTATGTTACTCATTGAAAACGTAGATTTTTAATGGTGAAAGAATTTTCAAAATCGGCCAAATAGTTTTTGAGTTTTTTCATTACATACAAAAATACAAATCTAGTAGTAGTTTAAACTATGGGCGGGTTTAACAGATCCTGTCTTTCAAATTCAAAGTATAAAATATCCATTAACAGTCGCTTCGTAACAATTAGGGCGTGTAATCGGTCACACAATGTGAAGTAGGCTTAAATAGGCACATGTGAAAAGCAATAGGACGTAAGTAAGGGAAAATAATATTAGAATATTTTATAAAAAAGTTTATTTTTTAACAGATTAAGGGTAATTCATTTACATAAAAAATAAGGCAGTCCTTAATTCTATAGATTATAAGAAGAAAAAATATTAAGGCGGAAATACACATGCCAGTAAAGTAGAATAGTAGCTGGCATACTAGCTACTGGCATAGTGTGTATTCCTGGCCTTTTGATCTTAATTTAAAATGCTAGGAAACATTTCTGGAGTCGACTAATGTTTTTTTTTAATTTTCTTTATTTCCTGCTGCTGTATTTCTTGCAGTAACCTAGTTATTTTTTTTCCTAGTTCTTTACCTTGTTTTCGTTTTTTTTTTAACTCTTAATAACTCATTTTTTATTTACTAGCTTTCGCCCGCGACACCGTCCGCGTGGAATTAAAAAAAAAACAAAAGCAAGTAGCCTATGTCTTCTTTCAGACTATGCTCTAAATCTATGCCAAATGACATCCAGATCCATTCAGCCGTTTAGGCTACAAATTCTAGCAAACATCCATCCATCTTAACTTTCGCATTTATAATATTAGTATGATTGTCATATTAAGAAGATTATTTTTTTCTAACAGAGAAAATTATGACTAGTAATTAAAAGAGTTAATGAAAACTAATTTAAAAAGTTAGATAGAGCTTATTTTAGCTACAGTTATTTTAATTATGTCGAATAGTAATCGGCGTCCAAGCATAATTTCTTGCATTCCGAACTTTCGTCTCCTCTCTTGTTTCGTCAATATTTTTCTTAGAGGTAAACAAACGTTCTAATCTATCTCTTAATTCGTCTGGAGTTATCGGTGATGCTGTCGTTTGTTCTGCTGATTTCTCCTTATACTGTCTTCTATGGTAATAACCTGCGAAAAAAGGGTTTGTTTTATAATACTTTCTTGAATAAAAAATCCAAGCCACATTATCTTTACCCTTATGTGCATGATGATTCATTTATACAGTTTTTTCTTACAAAATAGACTGTTTAAAAAAAGAAGTTTTTTCTTTTTTTATTTTTCCTTTAATCTATGTTCAATTTACTACCCTAATTTATGGTATTTAAAAAGATAAATCATACACTTGAGGGTTAAAGGGTTGACTTTTTAATCACTTAACTTCTTGGGACACAAAATATGCTACGAGTTTATGCCCATCATACTAATATTATAAATGCGAAAGTGTAGATGGATGGATGGATGTTTGTTAGAGTTTGTACCATAAACAGCTGAACGGATTTCAATGAAATTTGGTATAGATGTAGAAGATACTCTTGAAGGACACATAGGCTACTCAGTTTTTTTTTATTTTACGCGGACGGAGTCGCGGGTGAAAGCTAGTTAACAATAAAAATAAGCTACTTATTCATTTTTTAACATCATCGTGAAAATCATAGCCATGGTTATTATCAAATATTAGATATAAGCATCATTTGTAGTACAAATAATTTGCTTAATTTTTTTTTAAAATATATTTTAATACTGGCAGCTTTTTTTGTTCTTATTTGGTTTGTCTAAAAACCTATAAACACTTACTTGGTGCAAGATCGTAATATTTTTAAGGATGATGTTTGATTCCGTAGGAATTAGAGGAGGAGGTAACAGTGCACCGGCAGGAAGTCAATGGACCTGAAGGGGATGGGAAGAAAACGGGACAAAAAGAATGTTTTACAATGATTTTATACTAATGCAAAATTATTATATTAAATGACTAAATACTGGTAAATGATAAATGTCAAACTAATATTATAAATGCGAAAGTTTAGATGGATGGATGGATGGATGAATGTTTGTTAGAGTTTGTAGCCTAAACGGCTGAACGGATCTGAATATGGAAGAACACATAGGCTACTTACTTTTGTTTTTTTAATACCACGCGGACGGAATCGCGGGCGAAGGCTTGTCTTTTTATATTAAGTGAATTACTAAAATGAATTACCGGTCATTTAAAATTAACTACTAACTTATCAAGATATAAAAAACATACTTTTTAATGATTAGAAGTAATATTGTATTAATCCTTTATTCGATTGTGCCCAGTTTGACGAACAATTAATTAAAAAAATCTACTGAACTAGTTAAGAGAAAAATATGTGAGATTTTTATTTAAGTGTCATCATCATCAACTTGCCCTTATCGCTCATGGAGGCTAAGTATGTGCTGCTCTCCCATACATCTCTATTAACCGTCATATCTCACTCCTTTCTTAAGCATATCCTCGTTCACACAATCCATCCATACTTTCTTCGGTCTTCCTCTTCCTTTGTAGTCATCCACATTCATTCTTAACACTTTCAGGTTTATGTACCCATCGTCTCGTCGCATAATATATCCATACCACGCTAACCTTATGCTTCTCATTGATTTTTATTTAAGTGTAACATATAATATTTATATTTGAAACATAACCAAACATATTTCCATCAATATACCGAAATAGAAAATAGAAATGCTTTAAAATAGCAATTAAAAAAATTGTATTTCGTCGTCTAAAATTTACAATTTCAATGTAAGAATATCTAAATTACCTCCAGGATAAGAGTGGTAATGTCCGAAATCCTCCGTCGATGTAAACGTGGGTGGCGGTGTTGGACCAAATCCGGAGAAATATTGTCCTCCGTAACCATTCACAGAGAACAAAGTTGCTGCAGCAAGAGCTACTTTGGCTACAAGAAAAGCCTTTTTACTGGCTAATAGTACTAAACCAAGTAATAATGGCAATAACGTTGCGATATGAAATTTGAGACCGAGAAGAAATGGGACTAATAGATTCCGTATCAGTAGACGACCTGAAAATAAAATATTATTTAATTATTGTTATTTTGAGATGACATCTAGAGGTACAATTAAGGAAACTCGCGGTTTTCCACATTAAAAGTCACAATCGTTTGAAAAATTTGATACAGAACAGAAATAAATTCAACGCAGCTTATAAATGTCTGTACCAAAGTCGGTTAGTGATAAACAGCTTATTTCTTTTTGTTATTATACCTTTGTTGGCACTTACTGCTGTCTTATTAGTTATTTGAAGGAAGAAGCAGTGAAGTCGTTGCGATCAATACGGTAATTTTGTCTGAAGCGGAACACCACAGATTTCCACGACTGTACATTCGCATCACACGACTCAATGCTCGTAGTGTAACAATTAAGAATTTAAAATATAAAACATCCAGTCATTAAAAAACGACAAATACAAGCAGTGTGTCTTAACTCTCATGGTCGTCAAATATTTCTATAAATTTTTTTTATGGTGTTTTTACAACAATTTATAGGAAATTTGAATTTAAATAAACATCTGCTTGTATAAGGTTTTACTACAGTTTCTTTAATTCGTTAACCTTCACGCAGATGGCGCTGTTCAAGTTCAATGTTATCGCCTTGACTTTTGTTTAGTCTTGTAGTTTTGAATTGCGAACATAGATGGCGGTTTAAAAAAAATATCGCTGGACTCTTTTTGACAACACTATTGAGTGTAATTTTTATAAATGTTTGACAATATGTAACATATCTTACCTGTCGTTAATTCACCATGATTTTGTTGATAACCTCTATCTTTAATCCTTGAATCTAATACAAATTCGAGTACTCCATTAGATAAAGTAGGACCAATTCTCATTGCAAGACCTGGGCAAAGTCCACTCATGTCCCAATGTAACGATCTCTTTGAAATTAACTCGCTCGCGTCTTCTAATATCGATCTGAAAACAGATATTGTTACCACGTGAATCCAAATCTAAACGGATTTGGATGAAATTTTATACAGAAATAGTGTTGTCGGAAGTCAGTTTATTCCTATACTAGCTTTTGCCCGCGACTATGTCGGCGTGGTATTAAAAAAACGAAAGTAAGTAGCACATGTCTTTCATCAGACTTACCATATCTTTGCCTAATTTCCGTTAATTCGTTTAGGGTACAAACTCTAATAAACATCCATCCATCTAAGCTTTCGCATTTTAAAAATTATCAAGAGGTAAAATTAGTTTTCTATTACTTTTGGTTTTAAAACATAAATAGTAAATAATTTTTCAACAACATTACCAATCAGTCTTTTTAAATTACTTTCGGGTAAAAATATTACAATTCCTCTTAATTACTGATGTTGATATTGTATCTGGGACAATATTTATAATATATAATAACAGTAATAAACTTTATTACGAGCTACACTTATATTTTGCTCATAGTTTGTTAGTAACAGAAAAAACTTAATACCTATGTTAGTCACACATCTAAATGTTATCTAAATATTTGTAATATAAAAAGCAATTTGAAAGGACAGAAATTTTGTTACTGTATTAAAAGAACTTAATAAAATGTTTACCTGTAATCCATAGGATCCTTATCCAAGAAGTTTCCCAAACCTCTTGGTGTCTTCTCATCTCGTAAGAAAGAGACGCCAGTAGCCAAACTGAATGATTCCGTTTCATCGTAATGATTTAAATTAGCTAATAATTCTTCACCAAAACACACTCCTACTTCTGCACCTCTTTTAACATTTAAACACTTATTCAACTGTGATTTCGGTGTTGTGTCGTCTACTATTTCTCCGTCATGTCTATCAATTTGAATCGGTATCACTTCAGAAATTATTACAAGTATTAAGATGATATTTTTGTTAATCAAAGCCATTGTTACTGTAATGTTTTTATATCTACATTTCAAATTAATTTTATTTCAATGTTGGCTAGGATAGATCTTCCTTTGTGAACTTTATTATTCTGTATAGCGAAATTGTAAGAAGTGGGCTGTTTTATAAGCTTTCCTTGTTATGTCTGGTTGGATTCTGTCCATTGTTTTGTGAGGCCCGTCACGGGTACTTCCCACAGAAACGACAATAGGGTGAAAATTGGACGTAGAATCGCGAGGCAATCTGTGAGAGTTATTTGCATTGCGAATACAATACGTAATGTGTTGTGTAATTTAAGTAACTTGGATGAGATTTAATTTGTAGAATTAGTTTTGGATAATTTAAGAATTGTACCAAAATTTAATACGATTTTTGGAGCATGACATACTGTTACAATGGTAATTCATTTCAGATGACATCTATGACATTTTTTAATTTCTTACTAGAGCCATTATGTTAGTTTCTTTCATCTATACATATAATAAAATTGTAGTGTCTGTTTGTAATATCAAAAGAACATTTCCAGATTTCGACAAGATAATTTATTTGAGTTGCTGATAACGAAAATCGCATATAAAAATTTTTGTCTGTCTGTCTGTCAGCAAGTCGCGTTTGTGCCGGGTAATTTCGCGATGTCCAAATAAGCGCCAACGAAGCTTACGGGGGACAGCTCGTCAGATAATATTAAGCAAAGTTCGCCAACTGATTATCAATGAACTTACTCGAAATTATATTCGGAAGTTTCAATAAACGAATCTTGATGAATTTGTCACATATGTAGAATATATAATATAGTCTGGAAGAACATATAGGCTGCTTACTTTAGTTTTTTTATTCCGCTCAGACGGACTCATTTAAAAAACATAGTATTCTTGTAAAACTACGATTATGATATCGCGTTTAATATGTTTTGAAAACAATTTTATGATACTTTAAAAGCAAGTTAAGAAATTATTTGGCATAATGTAAATTGTTTATGCATCAGTAGATGATAAAAAAGACCCCAATTCTTGCTCCCGTCGTTTGGACGAAAGATTGTAGTATAGTACGGAACTAAAATGTTTGGTCCAAGTTTCGAACTCTAATAGAATTCACAGGGCTTCTGACCTCTTCATTGTCTCACAACCTGCTCAGTCAACCGCGTCATCGGACATTTGAACATATAAAACTGTCAGGCAAAAGTTAACTTCATTCTTTAGTTGATAAGAGTTAAATTTGTACTTCATTGTGTTGTTCGATATAACATTTAGGAAGGACGGAATACGGTGGAGTGAAAGTGTACATATATTTTTTCTTACATGTCCGGTTTGGTTTAGTAAAAGTTTTGTTTGTCTGACGTAATATATTCCCAGACTCACGCTGTTTGTTGTTTTTTAATTATTATTAAAATCTTTACGAATTAATTACTTTTCTATCGATTTTGTTCAAATTTGAGTTTTACAGCACTACAATAAAGATTTATATTGAAGATCGATTAAAAAAAATAACAAAGAAATGTTTTTTTTTTTATTTGGAATAAATAAATCGTTTAACGATTTTCATGTTTGCTTATTTAAAACTAACTGGATTTTACCTTTTAAAATCTAGTAATAAATTTAGTCTGTGCCACTTAGTGATAACGTAGTATTTCAATGGCAAAAGACATTTTGTAATCGGTTCGTTAGTTTTTTAGTTTATTAGTTACACAAAAATACAAGATTTTCCTCTTTATAAGATTAATATAGAAAAACTAGATTAAATTGATCTATTACGCAAAACACTTATTATTTCACATCTCCTCCACCATCAAATCCACTTCCTCTTCCCATCCTCTTCTTATAAGAAAAGGGTGGTAAAGGAAAGGGACTTAAATTAGGCCTCCGACACAACACTCATCAGACGAAACACGGAATTGCTTCCATTTCACGGGGTGCCGGCCCATTCGTGCTTAGATGTTAAAGCGGGCACTACCACAAAACACTTATTATTTTAGCTGAGAATGTTTTTTTTATATAATAAAAGGGGCCAAATTAACGGCGTGAACACCAAGGTGGTCAACGACGCCCATGAACATCCGCAACACCAGAGGAACAGCTGCGTTGCCGGCCTTTGAGGAAATGATAGGCTCGCTTGTTAAATGTAATTTTATATTAATGTAGCAGTTTTGTAAAAGAAGGCTAAGGGGATTAATGTTTTTACAAACATACCTTGCTTCGTTGGATTTATGAAAAGTTCTTTCAACCTTATTTTTGGTAGTTAAAAAAATATATTAAGGGCATATTGTACCACTGGTTGTGACAAATGACGTCACAGTCAGGTATCAAAATCCGATATTTCCATCACATATTTTACACGTTAGATTGTTACAAGACAATTATCAATTTGGTGCGACAGGGCCTTAATTTAATCATCAATATTTCTGAAGGTATTCGTAGATAATTTGCTGCCTTTCCATTCCATGACCTTATGCGTACTCCCATACATTAGTCATCGAAAGCTTTCGCCGCAGACGCCAGAGGGCGCTCAGGCTTTCTGTGTCTCACGTGTTTTATGTAATATCCCCTCTTTCCCCCCTTTCTCGGACACATAAAACTAGTTTTACACTCTAAGACCCGTACGTCAAATTAAAATGGACCTTATCACAAAGGAATTCGACTGAAATTTCCATGGTTCTGTATTATAAAAGGTAGTTTAACAGGTTGCGTCTTTACGTAGAATTGTGTTGGAGATTTTATAACTATTGAGACGGGATTTTTCAAAGGGAATAAGGTCTATAATTGCTTAACATATTTCGAATGCTTACATGGCAATACAACTTTAGTTATGCGGCTGCAAGACTATTTAACTACAATTTAAAACATTATGCTAATTGAATTACGGTTCATTTTGCTACGTCTATTAGTTTGGTGTTCAGTTTGGGTTGTATAATTTTAAAAGAAAAGCGGATGTAAACCGGACATAGGACTCGTGTGAAGAGAAACTAAAGGTTTTTATTCGATTCTGTAAAGGATGTCGTGGGTGTTCGGCACACTTACAACTGACGTCAAATTACGTGAACCATTCAATAAAATGCTTGTATATTTTACATAATACAAGACTTTTGTGTTTATGTGCTACTTTTGAATGACTCAACCTTTGTTTGTTATACTTTTGTCTTTTGTTTTTAGATTTTTCTTTAGTAAAAATTAGTAGCCTAACTCCATAATAATATAACATACACATGATACTAATATTATAAATGCGAAAGTTTAGATGAATGAATCGATGTCTGTAGCCTAAACGGGTACGTATTTTGATTAATGCTTTCGATTAATTTGCAAACAAATTGGGCTCTATAAAAATAACTTAGAACACACTTAAAATCATTAAACTAAAGACTTCAAGATAATCAAATTGGAGGAATACCTAGAAAAATATGGATAGATTGTGAAAGAGGATATGCTTAAGAAGTTAATGAATTCAGATATCATCATCATGTTTCTCCTTATCCTACTTTCGTAAGGTCGGCACAACAGGTTTTTGTCCTCCAAATAACTCTATCATACGTCATCTCAGTCATCACTCCCTTTTTGATCATGTCACCTTTTACGCAATCCATCCATCTCTTTATAGGTCTACCTTTACCGATGTACCCTTCCACACTCATAACTAACGAAGTGAATTCAGATATGACGGCTGAAAACTTTGTATTTAAGAGTACGCTCTATACCGACTCCGTAGGGAAAGTGAAAAAGACCTATTTAACAAAATTTCTGTTGCATTTAATTTAAATTTTACAAATCTGTTGTAAAAATGAGATGACTCTAATCTTATTGAAAATTTTCACAAAAGTGAAATTAATCGATAAACACCGCATGCAACAATGGTCCAATGAAATGTGATAATCGGCTCATATTCATAGTCACACTCCACTTTCATTAATAAAAGCAAGACTCATTGTTTTGATAAATGAATCGTTTTAAAGAATACTAGCTGTTCTCATAGGGCCTCATCCGCACGTAATTATAGAAACATTATTTTATTGATTACATTTGTCAAATTATAAATGTCACAATGACATGACATAATGACAAACTTGCTTCCTTGATGTTGGCAGTAACTTATTTTTTTTTATAACATAAGGTGGCCAACGAGCAAGCGCCCACATGAATCCGCCAAAATGGCATAGCAACCGCTGCCCATAGACATCCGCAACTGCAGATGCATTGCCCACCCTTATCTGACAGAGGAAGAGACGCATATAAATAGGATATCTCCCCTTCCTATGTATCTGCTCCTCCGTCAAATCCACTTCCTCTTCCCACCCTATTCGTATAAGAAAAGGGTAGTAAAGAGAAAGGGACTTAAATTAGGCCTCCGGCACCACACTCATCAGACGAAACACGGAATTGCTTCCATTTCACGCCAGTCTTCTGTGTGGTCGAGGTATTTCACCGGGCGTGCCGTCCCTGCAGTGCTAAGATGTTAAAGCGGGCACTAGCACTGTTTAAATGTCTCTTTCCCACATTAGGGTTTTTATCCAAAATATTTACCCCCTAAGTTTAATGGCGTTAAAATGTAAAATCTAAAGCGTGACGTAAGTGTAGGGCGTTTTATAAAAAAAAATAATGATTAAAAATATGCTGTAATTGCTGACATCTTATGCAACAAAGAAGTGTGTGTTTACATTTTATTATAATAGTATAGATTTAGACTATAAGAGTTTATTATGAAGGCTAACGAGATAAATATTATTATGGTAAAGTGTTATAAAATTCAGGACACGCATAACAAAACAGCTATTTATACTTAGGTTTCTCGTAATGCTAAAACATTAATTCAGACGTTTTCCTGTAAATGAATAACAACAATTCTACCAAAATGTCAAAAGTAAATACGATTTTTATGTTTGGTTTTTTAATACTCATATCTGCACCTAGGATCGGACTATAAATACGAGTGTTATTATTTAAAATGAAGCGTCTCGCTTTTCTTCATTTAACTTGGTAATGCGCTGTTTGCCCGCAACCAGACTGATATTTGC